ACAATGACCTGAAGGATATGTGTGTTCATTCAAAGAAAGGTTTTCCTATGAATTAATTAGAGAAGAGTCCATTTTTACTGTGCATTGTGTCTCTTCATATGGAAAAGGTAGTGATTTCCTCTACCCACGTTCCTTTGGGCAATAAAACCAGTGATATCAGCGTTGGTTGCCATGGTGACCAGGGGCCTGGTGTCTTTCTGAGGTGTTAAGATGCATTTCGGGGGAAGGGTCCGTAGGTCCTCATATGGCTTGTTAACTGAGGGGTGTTACAGAGTATTTGTTAAATATAGCTAACAAAATATATATTGTGTGTTTGATTGGTCCAGACGCTACAATATAGATAAGACTATATAAGACAGAATAAACAGAAGTTAAAGGTACCAAAGTTCCTTAATATCAGTTGTAAAGTCCAAAAATGCCAACAATAAGAGGTGGAGTAAACAAAACAAAAAATAGACCAAAAATAGTCAAGCAGAGAGGTGGAAACATACAGAAAAGGCAGTCCAGGTACGGAGTGGCAGCCAGACGCGCACAGTGTTCCTGACCCGGAAGTCACATGAAACAAAAATCAATGCAAAAAGACTGTGGAAGATGTGGAACAGGATGGAAACATTCCTGAAAGGAGTGTCCAGCGAAAGATGCAGAATGCAGGAAATGTAAAAAACGAGAACATTTTGAAGTTGTATGTCGGATGTATAAATTGGACTCTGTTTCGCAACAGGACAGAGAATCCTCTGAGGAAGAGGAGTATGCATTTCTGGGGAAAATGTCAACAGAGACTGTTATAAAATGGACAGAGACTGTCACTGTGAATGGAACTCATGTTAACTTTAAATTCGACACAGGAGCAGCCGTGTCTGCAATTCCAGAGAAAATCTTCAAAGCGAACAAGTTTGGTGAGTTGAAAACACCCCCAAGAGTACTGTATGGTATCCAACATACTGGATGTAAAAGGATGTTTTCATTGTATATTGAGTGCAAAACGACACAACACCATTCAAGACATTTATGTTGTAAATAAATTCACAAAATCTTTCCTGGGTCTTCCTGCCATAGAGGCTTTGAATCTCATTCATCGAATTGAAACCGTCACACAACAACATACCAACTACATTAAAGCATTCCCATCAGTGCTCAGTGGCCTAGGTTTACTGAAAGACCCGTGTCACATCGAGTTGCAAAGGGGAGCAACACCATATGCATTATCAACACCCCTCAGAGTCCCCATACCTCTTAGAACAAAAGTGAAAGAGGAACTTGATAGAATGGAGTCAATGGTAGTCATTTCAAAGGTGAGCGGTCCCACAGAATGGTGCGCTGGAATGGTAGTAGTTCCCAAACCAAATGGAAAAATCTGTATATGTGTGGACTTGACGAATCTAAACAAATGGGTCAAGAGAGAGCGCCACATCCCACCATCTGTTGATCAGTCTTTAGCTATGCTGTCAGATGCTACGGTTTTCACAAAACTAGATGCAAGATCAGGCTTCTGGTAGATTCCCCTCACCCAAGAGTCAAGACCAATCACCACATTCATTTGGGAGATACTTTTTCAATAGACTTCCATTTGGAATTGTGTCAGCACCTGAACATTTTCAACGGCGAATGTCTCAAATGCTGGACTTTTTCAGTGGTGTTATATGTCATGCAGATGACATTCTTGTTTTCGGCCGAGACAAACTTGAACATGACCAGCGTCTGAACATGTTCTTGACGAAACTCCAAGCAGTGGGACTCACGCTGAATGAAAAATGTGAGTTTGCTAAGACTAAAATACTTTTCGTCGGACACAAAATCACAGCAAAAGGTTTGGAGGCAGACCCAAGTAAAGTCTGTGATATTCTACACATGCCAGAACCAAAGTGCGTGGCAGATGTACGCAGAGTCCTCGGAATGGCAAACTATCTTGCTAAATTCCTACCACAGCTTACTTCAGTCACCGCCCCACTGAAGGAACTGCTCAAACAGAAAAATGAATGGTTCTGGGATGAGCCACAAAGACAAGCTTTTAACAGATTGAGACAAGAATTGAGTTCACCAAAAGTGCTGGCCGCGTATTCACCTTAAATAGATACGAAAATAGCTGCAGATGCGTCTTCCTATGGCATAGGTGCCATTTTGTCACAGAAACAAAAAGACGGAACATGGAAACCAATGACATACATATCCAGGAGTCTAACAGACACGGAGAAGCGCTATGCGCAAATTGAAAAGGAAGCGCTAGCAGTGACATAGGCAAGTGAGAGACTGGTTTCATACCTACAAGGACTGGACTTCACGATTCTCACTGACCATAAACCTCTCATACCACTGCTGGGAAGCAGGGGACTAGACGAACTCCCACCTAGGATTCTCAGATTTTGCCTTCGCTTGCTGCGATTCAGTTTTGACATCCAGCATGTTCCAGGGAAAAACCTAATCACAGCAGACAAACTCTCACATGCACCACTGGAGGTGGATCCAACACAAGCAGACTTACAGCTGGAAAGAGATGTAAATGTCTTTGTGGATGCAGTTGTGTCTTCCTTCCCAGTAATGGCCAGCAGACTGGAACAGATAAAGCAAGCTCAAGCAGAGGATGTCACCTGCAAAAAAGGTAAAAGAACACTGTTTCGCTGGGTGGCCAGAAAAACACACATTAAGCAAAGAGCTGATACCATATTGGCATGTGAGAGCAGAACTGACTGTACCGGATTACATTTTGTTGAAGGGGGACAGACTTGTCATTCCAGAGACACTGCAGAATGACATCCTGAAAAAAAATACATGAAGGGCACCAGGGGATAACAAAGTACCGGGCCAGAGCTCAACACTCTATCTGGTGGCCTGGTATCTCATCACACATTCGTCAGGAGGTGGAACAGTGTCACGCATGCAGTCATCACAAAATAGTTCACTGCAAACAGCTCTTACCTACTCCTCTTCCAGCACGTCTGTGGCAGAAAGTGTTTGAATGGAAAAATAAAACTTACCTTCTCATTGTGGACTATTTTTCCAGGTAAATGGAGGTTGCACATCTGAATATCACATCTGCGTTGGTCACAGTCAAAGCAGTCAAAGAGGTTTTTGCTCGTCATGGCATTCCGGAGGAGGTCATCTCCGACAAGGGACCACAGTTCGTATCACATACATTCCAACAATTTGCACAAGAAGGCAATTTCAAACACACCACGAGCAGCCCCCACTATCCCCAAACAAACAGAGAAGCTGAACGAGCAGTATGCACAAATAAAGGATTGTGGACTAAAGAAACCGATTACAACAAAGCCTTGCTCATGTACCGAGCTACACCTTTGGAGCATGGGTTTTCCCCTTCTCAACTGTTTATGGGTAGATGTATCCGCACCACTCTTCCACAAATGCAGAGAAAACTAGATCCAGTGTGACCAGACTTTCAAGAATTTAGGAAAAAACAAGAGGAAGCAAGAAAATGTCAGGCGATGTACTACAATCAACGTCATAAATCACATTCCTTGCCTCCCCTGCAGAAAGATCAAAAAGTGTGGCTTGCCACAGAGAAGATCTATGGAGCTGTTTCTCTAACTTGCTCAGACCCCAAGATCGTACATTATAGAGATTGACAGAGGGGTTCTGCGGAGAAATAGAAAACACCTTTGTCCCATTGGAGGTGTTTATAGAGCAGGCAGGGTTTACAAAGCCCCAGAAAGACTGAATTTATAGTTCAGTTGAGTCAGGGACTAAACAAAAGGACAGATGGATGAATGAGAGTTAGAAAAAAATAGATAAATGTTAATGTGTTGAGTTAATAAAGGTTGAATATTATAATACAGTGTTGAGAAAGATAAGGTTATAACATGTTCGTTGAAAAGAAAACGTTATATGTTGTTGAAGAAAAGATGCATTACTTAGCTAAAAGTAGGTGTTGTAATGGTAGGGACTTCATTACCCATGAGGGCTAGAGCGCGGAGGAGTGATGATGTAGGAGGAGACGGAAATAAAGGGGTCTTCGCCATGTGAGTTAGAGATGACTGTGTGCTGCGTATTTATTGAGAGTTAATATAGAGAACATTATACACCCTCTTAACCCAGGCTTAATATTATAACTTAAAACTCGTTTCGATTTGATTTAATTTGTGTATTTGAGTAAATGCTGTATTAAACAAATTTCAGGGCTGTGTATAGGTCATTACACACAAAAAAAACTGCTACTTTTTTAGTGGAAAAATGGTTTACAGGGTTATAAAATAACTCTCAGGTTACTTGCATAACCTCGGTTTCCTGAGATTAGGGAACGAGCGTTGAGTCAGCGTTTTGACACTAGGGGAACACTCCTGTTTACTCTGTTACTGAAGCCTGATTTGTTCACGTTTGTGTAGCTGCACAAACCAGTGGCGTTCGAGCCTGCCAGAAGGGGAGGAGCCGACTGCTATATAAGTCAGCTCAGAGCGCCATAGCCAACTATGAGGGTCTATGGACCCTTCCCCCAAAATTCAACTAACACCTCAAAAAGGCAGGTTCCATGGCAACCAAAGACAAATAATTTAATAACACTGATTTAATTGCTCAAAGGAATGCGGGCATAGCAACTCTCACTCATTTATCTCATAGGAAAGACACATAATGCCCATAGAAATGGACTGTTCTCTAATTAATTCACAGACAAACCTTTTTTTGAATGAACACACATATCCTCAGAACATTGTGTGTATCATTACTGTTTTGGTATGGTATACTGTTTTATGCATGTGTTATGATAGATCACTAGTTAATATAACCTCACCCATAACATGTTTGAGCTCCAAATTACGTTTCCCATTTGTTGATTTGCATGACATTTTGCTAACTATGTTACATATTAGTATTATAAGAATCTAGAAGATTCTTCTCTTTAACACCCAATCGAGTTTCATATGCAAAACCCCATGCTAGAGACAAAGGATCGTAAAATTTCCCTCCAAAGGTACCATTCCTCGTTGGCTCACTCAAATCCTGAGGGTGTTACGCCCCTCATACTTTAAAGATCACTGATCACTAGATCAGCGTGCTTATTTTCTGCTGAGCTAGATGCCTTCTAGAGACCTTTAAGATTGTGCCAGGCTGTGGCCTTGTCTTTCCATTCACCAAAGATCCTTGGATTTTAGCTGATGTCTCTCTGGCTCTGTGCTCTTCTCTCATCACGTTCCATCTGGGAGAAAACTCTCCTGACCCCCACCGAGTCAGAATAACATCTTTTGGAGTTCCTCTTCAAACCCAGAAGAACGTGATCGCGACTCCAACACCACCGAACCTCCAAACCATCAACCCTTTCATCTGAGACTGCATCCGGGTGCTCGTTCAACGGCCAAGGCAATGCAAGTATCGTGCATTTAACTAAACAAAACAGAGGTTTAGCATAAGCTGTAGACAGAGGCGCCATGCCCCCTCAGATTTCTGAGCCAAGTGCATTTTGAAAGCAGCTTCCAAAACACAAAAATAGCCGAATAATATTTTTTATATTTGATACGATCACACAGGTAACTGTCAATACGACCAGAGGCGTCATGCCCATTCAAAGTGATTTCAGATTTCTGAGCCAAGTGCATTTTGAATGCAGCTTCCAAAAGACAAAAATAGCCGAATAATATTTTTTTATATTTGATACAATCGCACCGGTGTGATTAGATCGTTCAGTGCGGCACAGCATCAGCTGCTAAATTAAAATATGCATTCGCTGGCTGGCACTGAGCCAGAAATACACGCGTTTTTACAGTGCTGCGCATTATAACCACACACACACGATTCTGTTGAGCTTATGAATGCAATGGTCAATCAGAGACGTTCAGATGAGTCATCGCTGAAACGCGGTGTTTTGCTCTCATCAGAAAAAACAAAGTGCAGATGTGCTTCACAGCGAGTTGTACACAGTCCGCCATTGCTGCACTGACGAGAATGTCTCCCAAGCATTTTAGGTGTTCTGTAGCTGGATGTATGAATCCACATAGGTCTCTCCATTTACTCCCGAAATCTGAGCCGCTGAAGGCGAGGTGGATTAATTTTGTTTTCGAAGAAAATGCTTCCTCAACTCTACCGAAATTCGTTTATGTCTGCGTGAATCATTTTACACCGGACTGCTTTGTGAATGAGGGTCATTATAAAGCAGGTTTTGCACAAAAGTTGTTCCTTAAGGATGGAGCAGTGCCAACTGTTCGTGATCCAGCTACACCTCCAGAAGAAGTAAGTATTACATGTTAGTTTTCCAAATTGCCTTTCTGTAAGAGCTTCTTGGCACTCTGTAAGGCTATTGTTGCTCAAGCTACCATTGTCTGTCTGTTTTCACTGATGCTGCCTTCACGTGCTACCAGAATGATCGTAAATAGGAATGTAGGAGTTAAAACTGCATATGAAAGCAATGTGAAGTCGACCGCTAGAATTAGTCGAGCTCATAATCACAAGTGGGGCTTATAAAGTTTGCAATAGCATGCAGCTTATGAATGCAATGGCCAATCAGAGACGTTCAGATGAGTCATCGCTGAAACGCGGTGTTTTGCTCTCATCAGAAAAAACAAAGTGCAGATGTGCGTACGAATGTAAGTAAGATAGTCATTTCACAGTGTAAACAGCTTCAGTGGTTTTAATGGGAGTTTTTGAGAGTGCCTCTGGCTAGACTGAATTAAAATGTTCTTTGATAACGTAAATGTTCTTTGCTCTCTGTAAAATGAAAGCGTTATAATTAGTAATTTACAATATTGTTATTAAATTCACATTAAATACAAAGTCAGTCGTATTAAAAATATTTTATGGCATGACACCCATA